GATCCCGCCGGGAATCTCCAAGGAGCCCCCGACCCGCGGCCGATCCCGCCGGGAAGCCCCAGGGAGCCCCCGACCCGCGGCCGATCCCGCCGGGAAGCCCCAGGGAGCCCCTGACCTGCAGCCGATCCCGCCGGGAATCTCCAAGGAGCCCCCGACCCGCGGCCGATCCTACCGGGAATCTCCAAGGAGCCCCCGACCCGCGGCCGATCCCGCCGGGAAGCCCCCGACCCGCGGCCGATCCCGCCGGGAACGGCCGGGAAGGAGCCAGTTACCTTGATCATTTCGGGATCTGCCTCCGTCTCTCCCGTGAGCAGGTTCTTGGTTTTCTGGAACCGCCGCCGTTTGTATTTGTTGATCACTGTGGGAAAGGGGCAGCCGTGAGCGGCGCTAGTTCTTCCCACCGGAAGGAACATCCCCCTGCTCCTTTGGGAAGCGGGTGGGAGAGCGGAGCGGCCCTCCTGGGAATACCCTCGGAATCCCCGCTGTTGAGTCCATCCCACTCCGCCTTCTCCCAACCTTCCTTCTCCCACTTGGTGCCCTAAAACATCCCCCGGTGCAGACACTAAAACACCCCCTGGTGCACGCGCCGGTGTGGAATTCCCAGTGCAAATCCATGCGGAAGGGCATCCCAGGATTCCCGAGCCGGGCTTACTGCGTGACGTGTGCACCGTGGCGAGGCGCCGGTAGAGGTTTTTCTGCCGGGGATCCGGGTGGAAGCCGCTCTTGGTGAAGTAGACGTGGACGTAGATGGAGCCGTTCTGCTGCACGCTCTGGAAGGAGACGCTCGGCTGCCGCTTCCCGGCCCTTTGGGAATCCCGGGAAGAGCCCGCGGAGGCTCCCGGGCCTACCTGGGAAATGTCCACCTCGCCGTAGTGCTCGTAGCAGCCGTCGGCGTTGGCGCCGCTCGTCCAGTCGCCGTAGACGAGATCCCGCTGCTGCCAGAAGAGCGCGGAGCTCACGTTGAACTCCGTGAAGTGCTCGTGCTCCGAGATGTAAACGTAGAGATCCTGCGGGAAGAGCGGCGCGTGGAGCCCTCCGGAAGGCGGCGGTGCCGCCGCCAGGCCGGGCGCTCCCGCCGGAATTACCATCAGCGTGTCCTTCGGGAAGAGGTTGCGGCTGGGAGCGCGCGGCGTGCCGCCGGCGCCGCTCTGCTCCTGGGGCGCCGGCCCGCGCCGGAACCAGCTGCTGATGGCCCAGATGATGAAAATCCTGCGGGAAAAGCGGGAAAGTCACCGGGGGCGTTGGAAGCGCCCTCACAAAGCGGATCCCAAAAAAGGGGCACGGAAAAGAGGGATCAACCCGAGGCTGGCGCAGGGATTGGGCTGCGAGGGCGTCGGAGCTACAGCACGGAGCTGCCCCCGGGTGTTTATGGGGAGGACTCTGGAAACGCATGGAATTTCGGAATTCCCTCCTTAAAGGTTATCCCACGGCGCTCGCTGAGGGCTCAGGAGGAAGGCTGGGAAAGCCGGGAGGCTTCCGGGAGCCAGCGGGGCCGGGCGCGGAGCCCGGCACAAAGTCCAGGCGCCGGCTCATCCGCGCGAGCAGATTCCAAGAATTAACCGTCCTCCGAAGAAGGTTAAATCCGGAGAGGAGATCTATTTTCCAGAACGACCTTCCAGTTATTTTCTTGTGGTTGAACCTTGATTCACGGCCACAAACGGGAGATTTGGAGCGTTTCTTGTCCAAAAAGCGTGCGTTTCAGGTACAGGGCGCGAGTCCATGTGCTCCAGCATCCGGAAGTCCTTGCCGCAATGCGGATTAGGCCGGGAAGATCCCACCTGCGCGCCGAGGAAGACGCTGGTCTGGGCTGCACGTGTCCAAATCCAGTCACAGGAAGCCCGGAGAGGCCTCCGGTGAGGGCCGATCCGTCCTCATCCCGGGAAAACCATCCCGGCTGGAAACGTCGCCTTCTCCGGGAGAGCGGCTCCGGGATCGTCCCGGTTGCACCGGGCGGGTTTATCCGATGCCGCCTCGGAGGAGGCCGGGAAGCGCTCGAGGCCGCTCAGAGCGGAGGCAGCTCGGGGGGCCCCGGCGTCCGGGGCGTTTTGGGGACAGGTGACACCAAGTTAACAGAGCGGGGCGGATCTTTCCCTTCCTCAGCACCCGGGAAGGCGGGACGGGATGGGACGGACCCCCCGGGGAACGTCACGCGTTGCGGGGGATGCAGGGGGACAGGACACGCTCTCGGGTGCCCCGTGACCAGGGAAGGTGACGCTGGGGACGCGGGACACGCGGCGGGGCGGGGGACAAGCTCTGCTGCCCCACGGCGGGCGGGGGGCGCGGGGGGACAGGGCGGGAAGCCTGGGGTCCCGTAATGTGGCGGGGGGACGTGAGGGGACGCGCAGGTTGTGGCGACAGGTCATGGGGGACACGGGGACGCAGGGGGTGGCGCAAGGGGACAGGTGACCCACTCAGGACACGGGGACACGAGGGGGGCAGCACAAGGGGACAGGTGACCCACTCAGGACACGGGGACACATTGGGGACCGCACAAGGGGACAGGTGACCCACTCAGGACATGGGGACACGGGGGGGGCGGCACAAGGGGACAGGTCACGACACCCAGGACATGGGGACACAGGGCCNACAAGGGGACAGGTGACCCACTCAGGACATGGGGACACGGGGGGGGCGGCACAAGGGGACAGGTCACGACACCCAGGACATGGGGACACAGGGCCAGGTGACCCACTCAGGACATGGGGACACATGAGGGACCAGTACAAGGGGACAGGTGACCCACTCAGGACATGGGGACAC